GAAGCAAACTGAAATTTCAATCAGAGGGTCTTTTTCTCTATCCTAACAAAAAGCCAAAGCCCTCTGTATAAAAAGGCTGCCTGGGTGGCTCTGTTAAACTGAGGGAGTGAAGCAAACTGAAATTTCAATCAGAGGCTCTTTTCCTCTCTCCTAACAAAAAGCAAAAGCCCTCTGTATACAAAGGCTGCCTGGGTGGCTCTGTTAAATTGAGGGAAGTGTTAGTTACACCTCAACTCTGCATCTCACCTGCTTTGTTCCAGTTGAGGGGTGAGCCAAGTAAAGCAAAACATGAATGTAAATACTACAAGATTTAAGAATGTGTTTTCAGGCATTTCAAGGATATGAGTCATTTGTTTCTACATTTTCTAGATTATAGTGTAGATTTAGTGGCTTTGAGTTATGTAAGGATGCAGCATGAACCCTATATCCTATGTCAGTCTGTTTACCTTAAAATGTAAATCTCTTCTGCTCTGTTATGCAATCTAGTGAAATTATTGATACCTGCTAGTTGTAACAGAGATTTCTGCCTCTCTTGCATTGTGGAGTCTTAGGTCCTGGTGCTGTATTTCAGTTTCATGGCTGAGCATAATAAATGACTTGGAGCTCCATCTAGGGATGAGAAAGCATTAAAACATCATCCAGTGTAAATTCATAGGGAAAATGTTTTAGTTAAAGCTGTGAGTCTTATCTTGAGGTGGTCTGCTGCTTTCTGTCTTCTCTGGAGTGACCTAACAGCCTTCTTGTCTTCCTCTGCAGGGTCTGATGAAGACTCTGAAGAAAAACAAGACAGTGAAAAGCCAATTGTATAGCAAATATGAAAAAACAGGTAAGCTCCTTTTGCACAGAACCTGAACATTCCTTGGTTTTTTTCCCCTTCTTAGTTCCTTCCCAAATAATCTGGTGGGCTAACTCGTGGGAGTCCCTCATCCTTGAACCCAGTCTGTCTGTCTGAGTGACCTTCAAGCAGGAACTCCTGCCAGGCTCTGCAGAGCCAGGACTTGGGGTCCTCTGCTGCTGAGTTCTGCTCCACCCAGGCCTGAGAGTTGTTCTGGAGTAGGTTTGAGAAGCTGCAGGTCTGGGGTGGGACTCCTCTAGCTTTTGTTGGTTGGTTTTACTAGGAAGGACAGTGGTAGACCAGATGTGGGAAAGCTTCTTTTGGAAGTGGTGAGAGATGCTTCTCTGGAGATGGTGATGCAAGAGAGCTAGGAAGAGATTTTCTTCTACTTCAGGTCTAGGTTAAATATACTTGTCTTGAAGACTGCAGGGGCAGAACTACTTGGGCATTTCCCCTCCTTGGTCTGTTTGATGCTACAGATGGTCACACTGGAGCAGCTTAACATTTTTGTAGTGTACTTTGGCTAAGTAGGAGAGATGATTTCTTTAGTTTGGGAATTCCTTCATTTACTTCTGGAATTACCTTGCCCTCGTGCTTTTACTTCACACACACAGCAAAGCTCAAGCTAGGGGAGGTGTTGACTGTTGAAATCTGCTGGCAGAGCAGATGACCTTTCCAACCTCTTCATTTTCAACATCTGCTTTCTTGACTCCCATCTTCATTCACCCTGACCTGTGCAATCTGTTCCAGAAAGAAAACCTCTGAGGGAAGCTGTTGGGTCTTTGGAAACTGGCACCAGAGCCTGAGGCTGACTGGCTGGTGGAGCTGCTGGCAGGAGTTACTGGTTAGAGAGCAAAGGGAAACGGTTCCCCTGTACTGTAATACCTCATAAAGATGATGAACCTTGTTGACATATGTATATTAGGTTGCCTCCCAGGTGGTATGAAAATATTTGTCCATGATGTATTTTATTCTTCAGTGATTCCTGAAGTTGATCTTCTAACGCCTAGGTAATGACTGGGAAGTGTTGTCTTGTGTAGCTAATCAAGAGACTGGTAATATAATGAAGTCAAACTTCTCTACAGTGGAAGTATATTTAATGATTGTGGGGACTCACTAGGTAAAAATTATTTTATGTTGTTGCAAATTTGTCATTAGTTTTATGTTTACTTTTTTTTTAACTCCATGCATTTCTTTTTTAATGGATATGTTCACTTTCTAAAATAAAAATGTGAAAACATGGGTAACTTGGTACTATAGTGTGTTGCTTTGTCAACTGAAAATCCAGAGGTACCAGACTCTTATTTCTTGTGAGGGGATGAGGATTCCAGTTGGCAGACTGCCTCGTAGTGCTGTTGGGCTGGCAGTAGGGAAGCAGCATGTCTTTGGTGCCTGTGTGACCTCACAAAGGGTGAGAGGGACAAGACAATGGTGTGGGGGCAGATTTCTCAGAAGTTTCTCTCTATTATTTATTTTAGTATTTTCTCTAGCTCCTTTCACAATCACTTAACCCAGTGAATTTTCTTCAAACTCAAAACATCCATGGAGATTTTATTTTAGAAACTTCAGTTGGTTTTAGACACAGCTAAAACAATTCTTTTTATTCTTTGAGCAGCAGCAGGAAAACAAGACCATTTTCTATCACATCAATATGATATGAAATCCCCTCTTTTTCTTTCCTCCATCAAGGTTGCAGCTGTATCCTCTACCCCACAAACCAGAATGTGAGGTGAATGTTTTTCAGATGTGCACCAGTCTTGCTCAACATCTCTCAAAAACTTTATACAGGTCTGGCAAGTTAGCAAGCTGCAAAATGTTGCCATCTTCTGCAAAGTGTTTAGGAGGCAAGAGGTGAGTCCTAAAAGCTTTGTAAAGCACATGTTCCACAGTCCACTTCCATGCTGCTGGGCCAGAGCCAGACTCTTCATTCTGAAATACAGGAAAAAAAACCCCCAAAGGACAAACAAACTGAAATTCTCTCTTACTAGAGGAGAGCACTGCTTAAGAACTCTCAAAAACTTTATACAGGTCTGGCAAGTTAGCAAGCTGCAAAATGTTGCCATCTTCTGCCAAGTGTTTAGGAGGCAAGAGGTGAGTCCTAAAAGCTTTGTAAAGCACATGTTCCACAGTCCACTTCCATGCTGCTGGGCCAGAGCCAGACTCTTCATTCTGAAATACAGGAAAAAAAACCCCCAAAGGACAAACAATTAAACTGAAATTCTCTCTTACTACAGGAGAGCACAGCTTAAGAAATGTTATTATGTAAAGACTGCAAATTCCACTAGTATTAGTGTTCATTCTGTACAGCCAAGTTAATGTCAAGCTCTGCAGTGTCACTTGCAGCATGGGCCAGCCTCTCTGAATCATTAACCAGACTATACTGTTAATTAATATGCATCCTTATTCCTATATAGAAATTTATCACAGCTCAGCAGGTTAAAAAATACATCCCAGACTCAGAGGGCCAAGGACTGTTGTAATATTTAGAACACTGCAATACCCAAAAGCTAAAAGGCTTTCTGAAATACTCTGTGTAAGAAGAGAATTTTAAGCCACATTGTTTCACTGGAAGTAGAGTTGGGACTGTAAAGTGTATAGTTGGGAAAGAAGAAAGTTTCCTGTGTGGTGTTAGTGGTTGGTATGACTAGTTACACACTCTTGTACCTGAGAGCTTGTCAGGTTGGCTTCATCTAGCAGATATTGCTTTCTGATGGAGTAGAACATAGCTAACTCTTTACTCAGGCTTTCAAAACACTCCTTTTCTTCATCCCAGTTTACCTGTTGAGAGAAAAAAAGTCACTGAATAGACTCTGGGCAGCAGTCAGAGACTTGAGAGGGATTCATGAAGAACTCATAGAACAAAAAAAGGGTAGAAATGGAGGCTTTCAAATCAAAATATTCTCATTCCATCAGCAGTTAGCAATGCAGAGGCCAGGCACAACTTAGCAGTAACCACAGCGAAGGAGCGTGGAGCATTGAACCGACTGCAGCCTGTCCTCGGCAGCACTTCCTTCTTCCCAAACTAGAAGCCAGCAGAGGGAGCAGTCCCTCGGTGGCCAGTGCCCTGTGGCAGCAGGGGGAGCAGTACCTCCGTGGCCAGACGAAGGACGAACATGGGCAGTCCCTCCAGCGCCGGCACGTAGCTCTCGATCAGCAGCGGCAGCCCAGTCAGGTTTCCCTCCTGCAAGGCAATGCTGCTGCTGCAGTGAAGGACAGAGATGCTCTGCCCTGCAGGAAATGCAGCAGGGCTGCTGGGTGCTAGGAGGCCCTGCCTGGAGAGAGAGCTGGGGAGGCTGCACTGCCTCTTGGATAAGATTCTAGTCATGGAAGCAGTAACTAAATTATTTTAGTTGGTAGCTCATTACATATAAACTCCTAAAAGCAACACTTTTAATGACAGTGGGCAAACCCCTGCAGTTATCTGTTACTGTAAATGCAGGATCACAGACCCATTTAGGTTGGAAAAGACCTTTTAAGATGATCAAGGCTGACTTAAGGCAGCACAGCCAGGTCTACCCTTCACTGACTGTCAGAAGAGCAGCAGTCACCTCATCAATCTCAAGAGAAAAATAATCCTTTAGCATCTCAGTCTTCTTTTTTAGAAACTCCACGATGTACTCAGCAAGACCTTCTTTTGGGCCATCTTCTTCCCCTCATCAATCTCAAGAGAAAAATAATCTTTCAGCATCTCAGTCTTCTTTTTCAGAAACTCCACGATGTACTCAGCAAGCCCTTCTTTTGGGCCATCTTCCTCTGTCCAGCCACTTTCAGGATCCTCTAAAGCAAGCATTGAAAGATCATACAAAGGAGCTGGCTCCTAAAAATGGAGAAGGGAAAACTGGTCAATGATCAAGACACTCTCCTGGAAATCTATAGATTCTTCCTTGCCAAACAAACCAATCATCATACATTGTTTCTGGCCTGCAAACAGTCCTGTTTATTTTCCAGGATAAACACTAGCAGTCAAACTATTTCTAACAGATTGTGTATTCACATTAATTATTTATCTCAATATAACAAATAACAGCAAAACTTAAAAGAGAATATTTAGAAGTGACACCAATAACAAGCAGCCAGGATGACAACTTCCAGTAGTAGCTACAAAATTAATAAGTTTCCTACAATCTATTCTTCCTGTGAAAGAAACAGAACATCACTCTTGTCAGGGAGAAACACTAGACATTTGGCTGGAAGGACAGGCTTCTTGTAAACAACTATTTTTACAATACAATGTAAAATTCTACTTACAGACAACCTTAAGACTCCGAAGTTTGCAAAGTCATAAATAAGTATCTGGTAGAAGAGTTCTTGGCTAAATTGAAGTACAAAAATAAGTTATATGGGCAGGATCACGTGTCTCCAAGTTACCATAAAGAGGAAATTAAGGAAACATCAGATGTACAGATCTATTCATATTAACAAAGATCTTCCTTTTAGGATTCAGATAGTACCTAGATGCTTACAGTTCAGTCTGTTCCTTGATTTCTGACATCATCAGCCACGTTGGTGCAGAAGTTACACCCTCAAGCGTGCAGCCACTACCAATTTCTACCCAGGTATTTTATATTTCAGCCTCTTTACTCCCTTGCTGCACTGCAGGAAGCACACAGGAGCTTGGAAAGTGCTCCTGTCTACCTTAGGCAGATTCTCTTGTTACAAAACTGATGACCTGCTTGCTGACCTCTATACAGCATGCTGTAGATGCTTCTGGAGCCAGAGAAATATCCTTCCCTCTCCCTGTCTTTCACCAAACAATAGAGTAGCTGCCACCTGAATGACACCAGCTCCCTGGGACTCCTCCCACACATGCCAGGCTCCTTTCCCCTGTTCTGAGCTGACTTTTGGACAGGCAACAGGGATATGATGTTGGTTTCCCTGTCATCTCCTTTCTCCTGATTAGCTCGGTAATGGGTGTTTAGTTCCCCTGCCACCAAAGCCCCTTTACCTGAGTTTTGTTGTGTTGAGAAGATAGAGTTTTGTCTGATACTGGACAAGAGCCCACTGAGGGTTGACACAGCCAACAAAGGAGTGATCGTGTAGCATCTCCTGGAGACCTGGAACAATCCAGGGGGTGGGGGAGAAACGAGAGGATGTAATTTCCTCTTTGCAACCTTGCCCTCGTTCATTGAGGTGAGGGGTTTGTGTCTTTTTTAGTGTTAAAGTCTCAGATTACAGTGCAGAGGACAGACATACTCCAAAGAAAACTGCAGAGCTAAAACAACTTGGCAACAAAATCTAGTATTGCCAGGCTAAATCAAGATTTTTTTAGAAATATATTAAAAGGTTAGTTATTACAGATGCCTCTTAATCTAGCTGTGGAGCATCCCCATTCTTCCTAGCAGGAAAATCAAAATAAACTGAACCAAGCCCCCAGAACACGAGCTACCCAACATTTAGACTCACTGAATAAGGTGGGTGATGTGACTCAGTGTGGCTCTGAAGGCAACTGAAAGGGTCAGGAGGGAAACAACCCCCAGGAAGAATGGCAAAATGGAGTTAAAAAGCTCTCTCAGCAGCACAGCGAGCTGACTGGGCCTCCTCCTAAAGCCCTTTTTCCTCAGCACTTCAAACAATCCTGTTTAACTGAGGGAATAACAATCCTCTTGAGAAGCAAAAGCTTCACTTACTCCCATGTGCCTGGCTGCTGATTTCCTCCTGGAGAGTCAGCACGCTGGTCAGGTTGATAATTCTTCTCCTGGGGGTGCAGGCAGCAGTCAGATCCTGCCTGCTGTCATCTTGCTCCATTTCTAGGTCCGTGTCTTCCCGTGGTCTCTTCCTGCACTCCCAAAAACAGAAGGAATCCTGTCCAATCCTGTCACTTGGAGCATCCCCTCTGTCCCCATGCTTCGCCCAGACCCAAAGCTTCCCAGAAGGAATGGCTGCTTTATTTTACTTCTGAGGCATAATGGGTTAGGAAAAGGCAGTTCACAGGAGGATTTATGCCTCTCTGCTACCACTCCCCTCAGAGATCTGTTGTTCAACTCACCGAGGAGGATCTGGCTCGGGAGGCGAGCGGCCGCTCTCGCTCAGCCCCGCCCGGCCCTCCGGGGCAGCAGCTCCCCCTAAATCCCCGACGTCTTCCATGTCAGCATCCTGCTGCCTGCCCTCCCCCTCCACAGCCCCTGGGGGAGCCCCTGGGGGAGCCCCCGGAGTCTCCTCAGAGGGGCCCGTGCTCAGGGGGTGGCTGGCTGGCTGGAGGAAAGCGTCCAGCTTCTGCTCGCGGGAGTCGGTGCGGACCAGCTGGTGGGCGTAGACTTTATCCCCGGTGCCTCTGGCAGCTCCAGAGGAGCTTGCTGCTGGTTTTACAACCTCACTGGAGGAACAGTCGGCCCCTGGAAGCAACGTCTTCGTTCAGGTAATGGGGAAGCAAGGAGAAGAGATTCAATAATAATAATAAGGCAGTTGACAACATGGTTGGTTAGCATTCCTCTCATCTCAAAGGGAAAATCTTGCATGTAAAAAACCACAAGGAAATAACATTTTTTAAAAGATAAGAGTTACAATTTCCATCCTGTGCTTCACAGAGGGATTAGGAGACTTGGATTAGAGATTAGAAAAATCTCCTTGATTTTTCCCAGTTAGATAAAATCCAAAGTGTTGTCAAACACACAGAACACTTTCCTCAGTCACAGCTCTCCCACCTAAACCAGGGCAGAAGGAAGAACAATCCACCACCTTTAAAAGCTAATATATTTGTAAAATCAAAAAGACTGATCAGATACTTGACAAGAGTTCTCACCCACTTTTTCCTCTTGTGAACATCAGCCTATTAAACCAATTTCATCCCTGCAACACTCAGCAAAGCTGTCAATGGATGACACAACTGTCAACCCTTGCACAGATCCAGCTAGAACAGTGCAGAGCTGGGATCACTTCAGATGTGCTCTCACCTGAGTGAAGTACATCCTTGAAGAATTGGAGCCCAGTAACTTGCTCTCCACGTGCTGCTGCACACGCTCTAGAATACTGTCTTCATGAAGGAAGTGGACCTCGTGCTTTGTGGGGTGCACGTTCACATCCACGTTCTGGGGGGCTATTTCCAGGCTGGAATGTAAAAAGAGGTTCCTCTGAGATTTCCCACGGATGGCAGAGAGGGCACCAAGTGGCTTGGTACAAAACACATCAGGTTTGGGGCCATTATTGAAAAAAACAGAAGTCAAAATGCTCCTGGAAGCTGCTGAGGTGACACTCCAGTCAGGGTTGTATTCAGAAATAATGGCTCTGAGGAACTCTGTTCCAAACTCAGCCTAAGAGGCAAGCACTTGTTTACCTTAGGTAGAGGAAGGGGTGTGTGCCTTTGGGCAGGTAAGCAGCATACACAGTTTCTATGGCTTTCCTCAGAGCTGCTGACTCCACCAGTCGATCTGCAACACAGAAGCCCCTTCTCAGAGAGCCCCCCAAAACACACTGCACGGCGCCCAGCTGCTCCTGCCCACCAGCATCTTCACAGGCTGGCTGATACACACATTATTTTCCCCCAGGCCTTTTTATTCCTCACATTTAGGCCCAGTCTTAGCTGCCTTCCACTTTGTAGAGTGCAAATCACACATTTAGAGGCACGTTACAATCTAAAAACCACCCTGAGATCCACAATGAACTGCAACACTTATTCTTCAGTGCTTTTAAAAACACATTTTGTAGTTCTTCAAGAAGTTTTGATCTTATTATTACATAAACAACATAAGACTGTCCAAATTCTGCCTTTTTTTCCTCTGTTAAACTTACGGTTTATGAAGAGTAAAAAGATGCATTTCTTCACAGAGTAGTTTGCATTTGTGATGTAGCCTTTCATTTTAAAAGCCAGGCTTGCATCTTCACAGCCCACTTCTATCAGCTCCCTGGGGACAGTTGGAGAAAAACAGGAGAAATTAATTCTGTTAATCAGGTTTCAATTATCTCATGTTATCTGTTGATAATTCTAATAGGAATTTAACTGTTGAAAGCATTGAAGAGGAGGACACTGCAAAGTTGCCAGCAGCCAGGGAGGAACATTCTTCTGAAGTTAACATGGAGAAGGTTCATGGGCTACATATTTCCAGCCCTTTTTGTGTTCATTTTCTAAGGCAGAATAACAAGCTAGACTAAACAGCATCTTAAAACAGGTAAAATAGCAACTTCCACTTGAAAACATGGTATTTAAGTTGAAATGGACAATTTATTCAGAACTGTACAAAGGAAAGAGGTATCACAGTGGGACAGATCCATTCCACAAGTCTACTCAATTCATTCTTCATAGCTGAAAGTTTTATAAGGATCTATTTTTTCCTGAAGTAGTAGTTACATTCTTAAAGGATGATTTGGTTTATTTGTTTTCAGCTTTTCTGCCTGGTTTCCTCAGCCTCAGCTCATGCAGCTTTTGTCAACATACAGAACTGTAAGATTTCAGAAAAAAGGAATTTGAGGAGACTTCAGAATTTATCAGCTGGACTGTGGTGAGAAGTGGGGGGAGTTTTGTGGCCTAGTGAAGGGCTGGGAGCTTTGATACACCAAAAAAAAAGTCACATAGTCAAAAGTCACAGGCAGGGGAGAGCTCTATGGCAGTGCTGCCTCTTTGTAATTCTTTGTAATTTGTAACCCAGCCTGTGTTCTTTGAAAGGGGAGGGGGAAAAGGGTTACTAGGAAGCTTCCTGTCAAAAGGCAACTGGATGTTAACATACCTGCTAACAGCATTTCCAAAGATGGACCTGATGTTGTCCACTGTCGAGGCGTTGGACAAGGTTCTCACATCTGACACAGTATCACCTTGCTAGAGGGAGCAGAAATGAGTCTCAGGATTCAGGCTGAAGTTCTAAAAATACACTAAACACTAAAATATAGCCCACTCAGGCTTATAACTCCACCTCTGAAGGTCAGGAACATAAGCAGGCCAGTAAATAATTATCAAGCATGCCACAGAATTAAGATGTTTTATTCATCATCCTCTTTCCTACAGCAATTAGTAACCAGACGCTTAAAAGCTCTGTACACTAATCCCATTCCAAAAGATGCAGTGTAGATTTTGGGGCATTTGCAGATTCAGACATCATATACACACACAACACATCCACACACGTGGTGAGGTTTATCAAGAGTTTAGTTATGTACCTTTTTAAGGGAAAAGCTGATGCCTGAGTTATGGATGGCATACCTGAAAAACAGGTAAACATAAAGCTGCAATAGGTGAAATTCAAGGATCAGCTTAGCTTATTTCTCTAAAAAAAACCCCAGATCAACATTTAATAGACCTGGTTAGTTCAGCTTCCTTGTGTGGGTTTAATTGGAACAGCAGCTAAACCTCCTCAGTGTTAACAGAGGCCCCAAGACTTTGGAGAAGGGTCTGAAAACTGTCTGGAGACCTCCCCTGCCCTGGGGGTTCAGCTGCCTGTGACCCCAGGGCCAGGTTCTGACACATCCCCTTGGCTCAGACTTCTAGGCAAGTTGCTAAGTGAGGTGAAAAAACACACCCTAAAACCTTGTAAAATGAGAAACAGGGGTCAGACTGACAGGGACAGTGAGTAACTCCAAAATTCAAGAGGAAAAAAAGCCAAAATGATGTAAAATCCTAATGGGGGGGGAAAAAAAGGATTTCACTCATTCAAATCTATCACCCTTTGCTTGCTGGAATTCTTACTAAAATAGTCCCAGACTGAATACACTGTTTCTCCTCTGGGTTATCTCTATCCAATTGCAAACTAAGAGCTTAAAAAGCCCAAAACAACAAAAAAAATGACACCAAGCACACGCAGGCCAGGCACAAAACCTGGAGCCTCCCACTTCAGTTTACCTGCCAACAACTTCTAATATTTTTGCATACTCTTCATTAGGATTTTTCAAAGCTTTCCTCCTTGTATTGACGTTGTAAAAGAGATCCTCAACCTACAGAGGAAAAGATCCCCATTAAAATTCTTTTTAAAAAAATCTCTTACCACATAATTCATCCAAATCCATCTATTGCATAGACACTAAAAAAATTCTGGGAGCATTTTAGTTAGGAGAGGAGAGGGCAGGCACAAAACCCTACCGTGATCTGAGTGCCTTGGTTTCCAGCACAGGGTTTCGGAGGGGCTTTAATTTTGCCATCACTGTAAGTAGCTCTGGGCAGAAAATGACAAGAAAACTCTGTCAGACATCTAGATTCTCTCTTCCCCCCCATTCTTTCTCTTAAAAGTAATTGAGAACTTAATAGATAGGGTCACTTATTAAAAGACAACAGTTTACCCTATATTGCATACAGAAGTAGAATTCCCTTTTAGACTCCCCAGCCCCAGCTTTATAAATACATTGATTACCTAAAACTCACCTTCACACTCTGAAATAAAAACCACTCAGACCACGTTTTCTCCCATTCTGGGTGGGTTTTTTTGTACCTTACCCCACTCAGTACAGCAGAAGCCACTGGGATAACAGGCCCATACCTGTAGGCACACTTTGCATCTGCTGTTTTAGTTGTCACTGTCACATGGGCAACGTGGCTGATGCTGGCCAAGGCCTAGAGAAAGAGAAAATGTCCTTGGAAACCTTGCTCTGGAGGAGCATCCAGCCCTCAGACAGCATCACCACACACCACAGGGAATACCACAGCTAGGTGACAGTGGCTTCCCTGGAACACTCATGGAGCTGGCTGAAGCCAGCCTCAGGAGCAGAGTCCCCTGTGAAGGGCAGGATGCAAACCTGGCTCCACCACCACACACCCCCAGGGGTTCCAGCGCCCGGGGGAAGAGCTCACCTCGCCCCTGAAGCCGTACGTAGAGATACTGGCCAAGTCTTCAAACTTCTGCAGTTTACTGGTTGTGAACCTCTCACACACAATGTCCAGATCTTCCTTCTGTGGGAAAGGGACCAGCAAGAGTCACTCGGTGTGGTTTTTTTTCCAGCTCAGCAACGTTTTTAACTAGAAATATAACGAAAAGGTAGCACGGAAGGCCAGCACCCAGCTTTGTGGACTCACTCTGATACCGCAGCCGTTATCTTGGACCTGGATGAGCTTCAGACCCCCTTCTTTAACTACCACCTGCACGCTCGTCGCTTTAGCATCCAAACTGCGGAAACGGAGACAGCGTTCTAGAGCGCAGCGAGCCCAGCGCGCAGCCCCGGGGGCGGGGGGGAGCCGGAACCCCCTTTTTACCAGTTCTCCATCATCTCCTTGATGGCGTTCGCCGGCCTCTG